CTATGCCATTATGAAAGACCTTTCTATTATTCAGTTAAATCCATCAATGTGTATGTACATGTATTACAGCTGTCTCTTTTTTTTCATCCATTATTTACACAACCCAAATTACCAAACAATTTCATTTACATTCATGTCTGTCAATTTTTGTGCTGTTTTGGCAAGGTACTTCACAAAACCTGGGAAGATATTCAACAAATGAAAAAGTTCCAGCTAATCAGTGCCAATGTTTGAAATGATGGAATACTGTAAAATTTTCAATCAATTTTTATCATCATACATGAATTTACAAACTCCAAACTTTTCAAGTTCAAGTTTTCTGTTCAATTTTTCTATTTTGTCAACCATTTCCGTGAGTTGCCTCCCCTGTTCATGTAAGTTTTGCTGGAGTTGTTCTATGTTGGACTGGGGGTCAGTGGCTGCTGTATCACTCTCTGCTTCACTGTAATATAAGCATTGTAAAGCATCAGTATTATCTCTTCGACCACACAAACATTAAATATATCTCTGGAATTACAAATATACATCAAGGAATAGAGGCTAACATCATTTCATATTTAGACAGTATGGGCAATCAATATTTTTATATGGAAATAACATAGCATATAGGTCAAAGTTCAGTTGTATTAAATTCTTTAAAACCATGTCAGTTGGCAAAATTAGCTTAATACGATCTGACATTCTTACTGTATCTGAGATGGTGACTGTGGTAGATTCCTTATGGGAGGTTCCTGAGCTAGTGACATGCTCTCTGACTCTCAATTAGCAGCATCTGAAATGTATATTTGAACACTAAATATATTTCAGTTGGTGTAATTAGATTGTCCAGTAATGTCCTGTATCCCTGAAGTACTGGTCAGTATGCAGTAATTTTGAAAGTAGATACATGTTTAAGATTATTTTAACAGCATGTGTATGTCCGGCATATACAAATGTGTATGTACTTGAAATGTTACTTTGATTTGCAGCCAATCTAATTTCACGGATACAGAATATTTGCAAATAAAATTCCCTTGCCATCATGACAAGAGTGTCTGCACATGTCCATATGCTTAATTTTTTAAAATATATTGGACCGTTCATAATTTATGACTAGGGGGGGTGATGATGATTTTAGGTGCGGTGTTTGTGGGGGTTGGGGTGTCTCCCAGTTTGTTTTGGGAGGCAGGGGGAGGGGTCAATTGCGTACATATGAACTAGGGGGTGATCACTGATTTTGAACATGACAATGTGTGTAGGGGGTGGGGGGTGGGGTTTGAATGTGTCTGTGTGTGTGTGACATTCACATTGTACATGTGCCCCTGATATTAAAACCTTGCATAGTGAACAGTTTGTACATTACACGGCAGATCTAGAGTATGCCATGTGCCGTAATAATTTTGTACTTACTATGAATCATTTTCCAGGATCTCTCCGTATTTTCGTCAACCACTGCCTTCTTCTGATCTTATTCTTGGGAATATGGTGAAAAGATACCGTAAAATCCTTACGGGCATCACTCCAACATGAAGGCACACAGCAGTAATCTTTCCTTTTCGAGGTCGCCATTTTCAAGGTTGGGTCAACCTATTTAAGCCTCGCTTTCGATTTGACCTCGAGGTCATGCATATTGGCTAAGAATGGTCTATAGCCTGCTCTGACAAACGGAAATCTGGAAAGCGTGGAAATCTCAAAACGAGGCTCTGCCGCTAGAAAGGTTTGGCGGTCTGGTACGGACTTCATATTACATCAGTCACATTGTACGTTACAAAAATACATTTAATAAGCGCAAAGAACACATAACAGGTGTAGCCAGTGAGCCATAAGAATTGTGAATCATTGTACGACCTCTTCAAACAGGGACAGTATGTGACGTTTTATTTAACGACATGCTGCCTAAACCTCGATATAAAATGTAGAAATACGATTGTTTCAAAATCAATTTGTAAATACTATTTTCTTATGAAACAGGGAAGTGGAATTCAGTGTAATCATAGTTGTTTGTAGCGTCTCTTTTCACTTTCACACGAGAAATTTCGGATCGGCTGGAAAGTAGGTCATTGTCTGAATTAGTTAACGAGACTCATGTTTCGGTTTGGGTGATACAATATGTCTGCTGTTGTGTTGTTTTGTCGAACATCCACAAACATGACGTCATCCCTATCTCCGACAAAAGTGAATGACAGAGTGAAGGTTGATGGCAGCATATTGGGAAGAGTTTTTCAGTGCACTTGTTGTGAGGACTGAACAAGGTGAGATGCGTTCCAAGGTTTCACATCCCTGTTGTGCCCGTGACAAGTGTCACAAGTCACAGGTGTCACGTCTCGCCTCTAAATGAACTACTCACACACAAATTTGATAAAATACGTTTTTGTTTGCAATTATTAATACGAAATTCAAGTACAGAAAGTACGTATGTACTACTATTTAACAAACAGTTAAGTTAGTTGAGAAAAACACATTTTTCTAAGGGACTATTTAGTCTCGAGTGATATAACACCTGTTTAAGATAGCGGTAATTCGATGAAATTCTTGGAAGTGAAGCCGCATCACACGCGTCCTGATATGGGGATTCCTTTCATCGCGGCCCGGGTTGGGATGGCCTAAAAGTCGGGCCAAGAAAAGTCGGGCCGGGCCGGGCCACTGGGTAATACTAGAAATGGATTGCAGAATATTAAAACGAAACCTGCACATTTGGGTCGATACACTTCCTGCCTTCACAAATGCATAGTTTGATTGAAAAGGTATAGTTAATGGTAAAAAAACACACACAACAACAATGACTTCATACTGAGATTCCCGTAGAAAAGACACCGTCTTGTTGTTATGTGTTTTCCTTGATATGTCTATGTGGGATAGTTGCTTACTTCTCTTAGCGTGTGACATCCGGGGGTCCTGGGCAGGAAGTGACAGTGTTTTGACTGCTTTTCTTTCCTTAATTAAGATATTGGGGTTCCCTAATTAACCTTTATTGTCTCAGGCTGAATCAGCACAGGATGTTTATGTTAAAGAGGCGTGGATATCAGCGAGTGTCAATGGGCTAATATGACATGATTGCGTATATTAAAAGAAATATTTGAAATCACAAAATTTTGTAATATGTCATAAAGGATCCAACAAAATATGCATTCACAAACACAAAAATTCTTATGTGTTTTCATTGTAAACAATACCAGCCCAAATCAGATAGCCAGCGCGTATGCATATGCTTATATTTACGAATACACATGAAACACAAAATGGTATAATATCTACCTAAATACCACGTCATAAAGTAAAGTAAAAGTGAAGCACTTTTCTCTCTCCATTCCCAACGATTTAGGAAAATAAAGTCCTCGGAAAACAAAAACCGCAATGGAAATTGTTTAGTCTCTGTTCAGCCCGGCTTGGCCCGTGCTGTCAAAAACAACTTAAACCTAACACATTTATCTTTAAATGTGTTTAAATCCATAGATTAATATTATATCTACCTACATATCACTTCACAGAGTCTCAGAGCGCAGTATTTGAAGCAAACACCTTGCTCAAAGTGAAGCCCTATTTTCTATACATTCTCAACAAAGACACAGTATCACAAGCGTTCGGTCCGGCTCGGCCCGGGATCTCAAACGCACCTTATACCTCACAGATGTATCTTGAAACGTGGTTAAATCCATAAATTGGTATTATATCTACCTAAATATCACTTTTTAATGTTATCAAATGCAACATGTAAAGATAACTGGTTCGTTAAAGTTAGCCCTTTTCTCTCTCCATTCTCAACATAGCCTCAATCAAAAGTGTTTAGTCTCTGTTCAGCCCGACTTGGCCCGTGCTGTCAAAAACACCTTAAACCTCACACATGTATCTTGAAATGTGTTTAAATCCATAGATTAGTGTAATATCTACCTACATACCACTTCACAGAGTCTCAAAGCGTAGTATTTGAAGCAAGCACCTTCCTCAAAGTGAAGCCCTATTTTCTATACATTCTCAACAAAGACACAGTATCACAAGCTTTCGGTCCGGCTTGGCCAGGGCGCTCAAACGCACCTTATACCTCACAGATGTATCTTGAAATGTGTTTAAATCCATAGATTGGTATTATATCTACCTAAATATCACTTTGTAATGTTATCAAATGCAACATGTAAAGATAACTGGCTCGTTAAAGTTAGCCCTTTTCTCTCTCCATTCTCAACATAGCCTCAATGAAAAGTGTTTAGTCTCTGTTCAGCCCGACTTGGCCCGTGCTGTCAAAAAAATCTTAAACCTCACACATGTATCCTGATTTCTGTCTATATCTCTAGAATAGAGTTATATTTACCCAAGTACGTCTTTATAGAGTCTCAAAGCGTTGTATTTGAAGCAAACACCTTGCTCAAAGTGAAGCTATCTTTTCTACATATTCTCAACTAACAGTATCACAAGCGTTCGGTATGCCTTAGCCCGGGCTCTCAATAACAACTTAAACCACACGCATGTATTCTGATTTGTGTTTAAATCCATAGATTAGTATTATATCTACCTAAATATCAATGTGTGATGTTACAAAATGCCACATGTAAAGATAACTGCTCCGTTTAAGTGAAGCCCTTTTCTCTCTCCATTCACAATATAGTCTCAATCAAAAGTGTTTAGTCTCTGTTCAGCCCGACTTGGCCCGTGCTGTCAAAAACACCTTAAACTTCACACATGTATCTTGAAATGTATTTAAATCCATAGATAAGTATTATATCTACCTACATTTCACTTCACAGAGTCTCAAAGCGTAGTATTTGAAGCAAGCACCTTGCTCAAAGTGAAGCCCTATTTTCTATACATTCTCAACAAAGACACAGTATCACAAGCGTTCGGTACGAGTCTCAAATACAACGCTTTGAGACTCTATAAAGACGTACTTAGGTAAATATAACTCTATTCTAGAGATATAGACAGAAATCAGGATACATGTGTGAGGTTTAAGGTGTTTTTGACACACGGGCTAAGTCGGGCTGAACAGAGACTAAACACTTTTGATTGAGGCTATGTTGAGAATGGAGAGAGAATTGTCACAATGCATAGTTCCGACCGATCGCCCGTCAACCAATCAGATCGCGTCTTTCCGTCACCGCGGGATAGCTTGTTGCTAAGGCGCCATTAGGTCCCCCAAGCTTTCGGTTGTCAGGACATTTGACCCTGCAAAGTAGCTTGCCGTTTTTAGTGATAATGGGGAAACGCTGTGCATGGGGGACTTGCGATTCTGATGAGGGATATCCTGAGAGGCTTGGGAATGCACTTTTCATTCCTTTTCCAAAACTCAAGTTCCGTTTGGAAACGTGTTTGCGATGGATTCGGGCTTGTGGAAGACCCCATCATCAGCTGAATAACAACATCAACAAACACAAATATGTGTGTTCAAAGGTACATTTAATTATTGATTCATTAACCTGTGAAATAATTGTCAAAGGGAAGATTTCAGTGAGGTTATCTGTCTACTGGAATTATATATATTACGTATACTGGAATTATCTATTATGATACGTGCATACAATAGATCTAGTGCATATCTTAGCCGACTGCGTAGTGTAAATATTTATTATTTTTTTATATTAGATTTTTTATATTTTTTTATCATAATCATAACCTGTAGTGAAGTAATACTAAACTCAGTAGGACACTTCACAATGACTTTATATAATCAATAAGAAAAATGCCCAAATTGTCAGATTGTGGTACTGCCAGCAGATATTGTGATTTTATATTATCAAAAATCAATTTTGACTTTGCTCACTTCAAATATATGTGATTAGTGTTAGAATTTCTGAGGAATTTGATAATCAATGTCCTGTTTTGACAGCATTTCAAGACCAACAGCAGAGTTCCCATACCCTATTGCTATTGGGGGAAATGTGACCCCAACCCGGCCACCACCAAAAGAGAGGATCCGTCTGGATACCTGTGATTCATCTCCAAGGTATATTTTTTTTTAAAAAGAATGATACCTCTGATTCTTCTCTAAGGTATATTTTTTTTAAAAAAGAATTATATGTAACAGTTTAACATTTCAAGAATACAATGCCTATTAATAGTTGTTTTGATGTTTTTTGTGCTCATACTACCAACTTTACTATAATTATTTTAAAAAGATTTAATGTTAATGTGACAAACATCAGTATGTAAGAAACAACACAACAAAAGAATAGTACCTCATCTATTTTTTATTTTGTCCTCACTTGTCAGTGTATGGTGACTTTATTTAATCCCAAAATTTGGACAATGAAGAAAAATTATCAACTTATTTCATGCATCCCCAAAACATATAACCATGTTATTATAAAACAAGAGCGATAACAACATATAAATATAAAGCATAAAAATAACAACTCAAAACTTAATTATAAGTACACCTGAAATGGTTGACTTCAAAGTTGTGAAATTATGATAAATTATTAAATAATTTGATGCATGTAAAAACGATTGATCTGTAACAAATTATACAGAAACAAGTGTGATAACAAAATATACCTGTAAATAAAACTAACAAATCTAAAATAACAAAACAAGAAGATTAAACCATTGTGTAAGATGAATAATCTGTCCAAAATAAATGCGATCTTTACATGGAGATGAATATATAGAAAATATATGAATATAAAGAAAATTATATCAAATTTAAGTGACAACTGGCTATAAGGGTAAATTACTTACTCATGAATTTACCTTATTTAGATTTACAAAAAATATGATTTTACAATATTGCCACATATTTACTACAAATAACTATTTTTCTAAAAAAAATGTTATTTCAGACAACTGTTTCAAGCAAACAGAGAAATATCCCCCCAGGAAGTGTCTGTTGAAGAGAATCAAGGTACACAGACCGATGAATCATGTAAGTATAACATGGAAAAGCTCAGTTGGGGGCAGTCAATTATGGCACTTAAGGCAAAATCTTAATTGCATATTCAGTTGAAGCTGATAGTATTAGCAAATCAAAACCATTAGGCCATTATAATCAATTTAAAACATTTTGAAGTTATATAGCTAATTTCAAAGTCTTTCATAACAAGATGGAGACATTGTTTTTCCTGAAATAGGATAGTGAACAACGAATATCCAAAAGCACTTGATAGTTAACACCATCAATTATTGTACAATTTACATGTCAAGAAATGGTATGTTCTTTAAAGAATGCTTTTCTAGCATACATGTCATGTATTCAATGTCTGGGAAAATACGCTCAATGTACGCTCTCTTTTTTGGTGTCAACCACATATTCATAGAACTCAGCCCCGGTTAACATTAACTGTGCCTGAATTTGGGCATAGTGAGCATGTCTTTTGGATAGTTTGAGAATGGCAATTTCCTCCTTCTGCAAAAATAAATTTGTTATCTTTTCTCATGCTTCTTCAAGTGTAAAGTGTCAAGCTGAGTTCGGGCATTTAATTTCAATAATTCTGTTCTCCTTTTCACAACAATATATCTTGCCATCAGGAGTGGCTCCAAGGAAACTGAAATTGTTGTTGATTACTAGTCCACTCTCATGTAGATGGTTTGAGATTTTGTGTTCTAAATATCTTTTCTGGGCCTGTACTTCAATGTTCTTCCCATAGGAAAGAGATACTGAATGCATAGAAGTCTTGGGAAATAGACTGTTGAGGAAAGATAGTGTAGGTTTCTTCTTTCTGTTCATAACCTTTCCGAGGTTGGAAGCTGTAAGACGATTAGATCTTAGATCTTTTCCAGGATCTGTAAGTTGATACTGGGCATTAAGATCTTCATACCCAGGATCGAGTTGTACAGGTGACACTTTCGGAAACGTGATGGGGGCGCACGTAGTTGATACTGCACGTGATTTCATCTGAAAATAAGAAATTAAATCTTTAGAAATAATAACTTTAAGCCCGGACATATTATTTTATATATTTCATTCCAAATTACAAATTAGCCTGTTATTTTCCAGTCATCACTCCACTTGAGCAACACCAGACAGTCCAAATTCAGGATCTGAGATCCTAGGTAGAAGATCAAGGGCAACAGATCAAGGATATGAAGAAAATTTTAAAGGAAAAAGACAAGGGAATTGTAAAGTTGAGGGAGGAACTTAAGAAATGTCAAAGATTTAATGTGACCAGTGTCTTGGTGAGATCAGGGAAACTAAAGGGCCTGTTTAAATACTACACAGGCATTACTTATGTCAGGTTTCTTGCCATATTCAGTTATTGGCCTTCCTTCTGCCAGGTGATCAGGCATCATGTTTGAATTATGAAAAAGGTCATCGTGACATTAGAAATTTATCTACTAAAGATTGCTTGTTCCTGACTATGTCGACTGTGACACAGTTTTGGATTAAAAGACCTCGCTATGCGTTTTGGAATATCATTGCAATCAGGTGGTGTAATATTCAATACCTGGATTGAACACATGAACTTGAAAATGGGCCAGTAAAGTATATGGCCACATAAAAGTACTATCCTGCAAATTATGCCTGCAAAATTTAGAAAGGAATGTCCTTCATCCATGATGATTATTGATGGGACAGAACTGAAGACTCAAGTACCCTGTGCTTTAGGGTTACAGTCTCAGCTATACAGTGACTATAAGTCAAGTACTACCTTAAAGTGTCGTGTATGTTTTGCCCCTTGTGGTTCATTGACATTTGTTTCTGAATTGTTTACAGGTTCAATTTCAGATAAAGCTTTAACTGATCAATCAGGATTTTATGATGCTGTACGAGGCAGGTACAAGAATAGATCGATGTTGTTGCATCCTGTGATATGAATGTGATACTAGTCTCTATGAAATAAACATAATTTCATTTCCATGAAATGTTAGTCTTGTTACTTAAAAAATGATGTACTGATTGTTATGTTTTGACTGTTTTGAAGAACAGGATCCATGTCCCAATAGATTAAAACATTACCTGATATGACAAGACTGATCCCAAGCTAGACGTCTCCGAGCAGAGTGTTTAGTCACCGGGGTGCATCTGTCTGTAGCACATACTGCAGTGGGGTAATATGTGGAAGTCTGCAACAATATTCATCTACATTATATTCATTTGACACACAGTTTCTGAAAATTAAAAAATATATCCTTAGTTCAATGCGTATATACTCTTTATAGACCATTAGGACCAACTTTAAACCTGCACCTGTTTTAGTGATTATGTGCAAAACAGTTTTCACCAATTACAATACAAAAGTGACAAAAGTATCCATACCTGGTGTCACTGAACTTGACAAATGATTGGCTTCCTATTTCTAGACTGGGCAAGAGGTTGAGCCACAATCACTTGGTTGATAGGCACTGGGATGATCTTGTTGCCCCTGTGAATCTGCCACTGTTGCTGGAGGCTGGTGCAACTCTGTTTTTCATGAATGTGCGTGAAATTGTGAGGCTTCAATCCCTGAAGTGTCTTCACAAGGCCAATGATGTGGGAACATCTTTCACCAAATCTAAACAAAAATGAATTCATGTGAAGGAAATCTAAAGATTTTTTTTATAAAAATGAAATACCATTGTATCAAGAAAAACATCTAACCCAAAATCATGATACTTATTTTTAAGTGTATCAAAATGAACATATAATGATATAGGTGAAATCACAAATAATCTAAATTCGATTTTCAGTAGATTCTAACTTGTAATTTATTAAAGTCTTTACTTATAATTAATAGTACATTCTGTGCTAGGCATGGTGTTTCATTAATAAGTTTATATTTGAAACAGTATATTACTAGCCCTGCGTAACATTTGGAGGCTGATCGAAAACTAAACAATTGAATTTTACGGTTCATTTTTAGCCAAATTACTGAATGGATAAATATTCTGTTTCCTTTTTGCCGATAGTATATGTAAACCCGATGTACAATAAATACAGAAGTGTAAACATTCGTCATGTTTTGCTGCCAAACTTCGATAGGACTAGAAATCAATCAACACACCAGTCATAACCCGACGAGAACAAATGATCGGTCACTGTGCCATTGAAATGACAATCTCTTAATCTATCAGGCACTGATTTTAAGTGATTTATATGAGGATTTACTGACTTCTTATCAATGACGTACTTACCCAGCTTTACAAGAACAATAGCTGTGAACGATCTTCTCGGCGCTTGTGTCAATCCTCAAATGGAGGGTATGCGGGCTCCGATTCTTCGACATTGACCGCCAGCACATAGCATCAATGTCAGAGGTGTTGTCACGGTTATAAACTCGTATCTCATGGATATAACCCTGTGAAGAAATAGTGTAAGCCTGTCTGTTGCGATTTCTGCGTCAAAGTAGGATGATCTGGCAAGAATGCAACAGATATTGTGTCGAGAACTGTCAACAGGCAAACGGTGCCTGATCGTGTATCCGCCATTTTGACAGCTCGGCATCCCAAAGCTTGGGGGACGTAGCAACAGTAACCAAGGTGGGCGGAGCTTGGGTCGGTAGTCGGAACTATGCATGTACGAGTGATTACGGGAAATATGTCCCTCGTGAAATTAATGTTGAAGTCCCTCGCTTTTTAGGGACACATTTCCCGTAATCCCTCGTACCTCGTGGGTTATTCTTTTTATTACCCATTCTGTAATTAAACCGAGAAACTAGTACTTATGAACTCAACGCTGCACCTTGTTATGTGTTTACAACGTAATCAGCCGATCCGTATTAATGCGCAGAGGAAAAAAGCAAACGGCTCACGACTTATGGAATCGCATACGAACCCCAATAAACTACACAATTCATCAGTTTCCAAATTCGAGTACAATCTCATATGTTATCTACTCGTGACAGAAAGTGGGTGACTGTGGTTGGATACAAAACAGCAAAAACCTGTCAATCTTTTTGAACATTAACTGATATAACAGTGAAAATCTGCAAGCGAACAATAAAACGCAGGAATGGTGAACTTTTTTCTAAGAAGTCGGTTCACAAGTATTAACGTTTGTCAACATTTTGACTGTGACCTAGGCTTGGCTCGCGTCAGTGTCCTTGTCAGGAACGATAACTCTAACTTTAGTCCGAGTCCGAGTCGACAACAGGCAAAATACGCCTTTTCGGTGCAGGTGGTTGGTTGAAAGAATAATCATTTGAAATAGTGAAGTTGAATACTCCACCGTAAATGGACCAGAAAAAACAGTATGAACAGCATGGATATCAACTGAAACTGAATTCATCTAGAACATGACTGATTGGGACTGATTCGACTGAGGCTTTGGTGCATTTTGTAGGCAAGGGAGATATAGGCCTGTGTCACGTGGTGTGGAATCACAATTGGACGACAAAAGTCTGTAGATGTTTTGGTGTTGTTTTTCATTCATTGTTGAATAACTGTTGATTGATTGAACGTTTTTGTTGCCCTGACACTTGCATGATCGGGTGAGCTGGAACAACTTTGTCAGACAAACTTTGAATCACGCGTTTCCTGGCGCTATGGTTTGTCAACCGTTTGTTATTAGAAAGCCCTGCTTTACTTGCCACTGTTTTCATCAGTGATTTCCAGTTTGTTTCTGCTAACCGGTTGACGTTAAACCAAGTATTTGCGGTTCGTACCCCAAACTGGGTGTTTGTTGCCAAATAGAATGGATGATCATCGTTCGAGAAGTTTAGTGGTCTCAAGTCACGGTACGACTTGTAAACAGCGACTGGACAACACAGATCCCCAGGTTGTGCCCATTCTTTAGGAGCAAGATCGCGAGACTGGTCACCCTGACGGGTTTTGACTGCCGTTCAATATACTGGAGATATTCTCGGTTCTCTGAATCAACTTTTAGTGTTACATCACCCCATTGCATACGCCTATACGGGGTCGCCGATCTCAAGCCAAAATAGACGTGTTGTTCCGCCATAATGTGTTCACAATGGAATCTGGCGTGCTAGTGCCTAGTTGGCCACATTCACGGAGTTTCTGTAATTCAGTGTCGGATGCAGGATCAACACGGAATGGTAGGTTCCCTTTACCTTGTTTTTTTAATGACTTGAGTTTTGATTTAAAAAACACCCTCAGTTTCATGAAATGCATTGACTCGGCTAACACATGTGAGTACCCTTTTCGCTTGAAATAGCGTTCAACGCTACCCTTTTTTCCCCGGAGGGAAGACTGTTCATACATCGAACCATCAGATTTTCTTGCCGATATGAAAAATTTACATAGGATCAGTGTTCAGTTCATGGGGGGCAATGTCTTCAAGCTGTCTTGGATCATTAAGACACTCGCGGAGAAATCTATAAACAAGATTCGTGTCCAATTTTGTCTTTTTCATTGTGTTTTCGTTTTCGTTCACAGCCAAGAAGTTATCAATGTCATGGTCAAAAATAGGAACAAATCTGTCAAAAGTTTTGTTTTCGATTGGGGGTTAAAAAAATCATCTTGTAGCAAGTCATTTATGACACTCTGAGGCAGGTGGGGACTTTGGTGAGAAACCGACTCTCTCGAGATTGTTTCCGGCAACACTTTCAGTCTGTACCTTGCAACTTCCATTTCTCCATATTCCGTGTTTATCACATACACGTGAAAAGGAATTTAGTGGTTGTGTTATTCATGTTACACGACCAGTAATGTATCCGTCCTTCTTGACCACGTCATTGACTTTGACTGGCGTTAACTGGGTAGCCATGTTTCTTTACAAAAGACGATTTTATCAATTTTAGACAATTTTTTTATTACAAAACATGTTAAGTAGACGACGCTATATTGTTAATGAAGTATGAAATAAAACATTAAATTAGCATCAAAATCAAAATCCTGTATGTTGTTTTTGTTCTGTTTTGAAATTTCTTATAAGTGCGATTACATCAAGGTCAATTTATCAATGAATCGATGAAATTTTATGAATGAACGTAGTGTGTGAAAGTAAAATTCCGGGATCCAATGAAAATGTATAAGTATACGATCAACCAATCAACGTCGAGAATCACTAAATTGCACACTGTGCAAATATCAAAAATAAATTACACGGGATCTCGTCACCCGTATGGGTAAAAAATAAAACAAGTCATGACGTCAACCAACTAAAGTGGTGTCATTTGTCAGTAATAGCATTACAGTTGATGATAATGCTTGTACTCTGTTAATAATGGTGCAACATTAGTCCAAATACATCTACATAACCAGAGAGTAAGGGAATGTTAGAAATAATTAACATAATAAATATCACCATCCCTTTAGCTGTTACGTCCTTCCGCATGCTGGGCGAGTCCAAATTTCTTTAAATTTGTGATACATCGCATTCGGTTATAATGTAGATTTTTGCATTGAAATAGTTTGGTGTGCCGTTAAAAAAGCATCACGAAAATATAGTGTCCGTATCCACAGGAAATTTTCGTGGACCCGAGTTACAATGACCTGGTGTTAAGCCCGGCGGAGTTGTGCCCCTTATCTTTAAGTGTGTGTGTGTGTGCGTGCGTGCGTGCGTGTGTGTGTAAATTCTGTCATTTAAGGCAAGTTATGTTACACATTGAATGCATAATGTTCTACATAAGCTTACAAATCCATTAATAAAATCTCAGGCAGTGCTTCCGTCGTTTCTCTAAAGATGCCAAATAAAAAACCCTTCGGACTGTGCTGTACGTTAAAAGTGGGGAAATTTACTGTTTTTTTACCGCATAAGAAAATTGCGGACAATGTCTACTTTTAAAGCCGCATAAGTATGTGTACTTGAATTTACATCATTTGATATGAAATTTGATATCAACATCTATGTAACTGTCACTGCCCATCGGACCAGTTTCCTAAATTATGGCAGACAATGTGACAAAGGCAAAAACAGAATGTTCTTCAGAAGTTTATCACATTGTCTACACAGCATATGTTCATGCTTGACTTCGTAATACCTAGATTACCCGTGAAATCCTGATTAGACTTGGTCTTCAGTAACCCATGCTTGTCGTAAAAAGCGACTAACAGGTGGTCAGGCACGCTGACTGGGTTGACACATGTCATCGTATCTCAACTGCCTTGAGCGATGCTCATGATGTCAGTCACTAGATTGTCTGGTCCAGACTTCATTATGTACAGCCCACCAACGTATAGCTGGAGTATAGGTCAGTCACGAGATTGTCTGGTCCAGACTTCATTATGTACAGCCCACCAACGTATAGCTGGAGTATAGGTCAGTCACGAGATTGTCTGGTCCAGACTTCATTATGTACAGCCCACCAACGTATAGCTGGAGTATAGGTCAGTCATTAGATTGTCTGGTCCAGACTTCATTATGTACAGTCCACCAACGTATAGCTGGAGTATAGGTCAGTCACGAGATTGTCGGGTCCAGACTTCATTATGTACAGCCCACCAACGTATAGCTGGAGTATAGGTCAGTCACGAGATTGTCTGGTCCAGACTTCATTATGTACAGCCCGCCAACGTATAGCTGGAGTATAGGTCAGTCACTAGATTGTCTGGTCCAGACTTCATTATGTACAGCCCACCAACGTATAGCTGGAGTATAGGTCAGTCACTAGATTGTCTGGTCCAGGCTTCATTATGTACAGCCCACCAACGTATAGCTGGAGTATAGGTCAGTCACGAGATTGTCTGGTCCAGACTTCATTATGTACAGCCCACCAACGTATAGCTGGAGTATAGGTCAGTGCGATCTTTTACAAACAAACGCCGCGCAAACGGAATTCTCGCAGAGCGTTCACTTTTCAGACCTTATGAAAATGTGCGTCAGACACACAATCTAGAGTTTATTGCTTATTAAATATGGCTTAAGTTTTACCGAAAACCTTAAGTGAAAAAAACGATCAGACTAAGTTTATAAACAGCCTTAACCCCCTGGGTGCCACAAGGACATATATGTCAACCCTCATTTTGAAGTCCAATAGAATTCTAAATATATCACGCACGCAAATATACTTCACATTTTTGAATTCTGTGGGAGATTCCCTGTTTCTTGATACCATCCACAATTATCTCAGACAAAGCTAAAGTGCTTCAAGTAACCTTTCAAAACATGCTTCATCGTAAATGTCGCCATTTCGCGATTCACAGCGTTATTTGCTGCATGTTTTGAAATGTGGAAATCGGATAATTCCTGGGAGTAATGAATTGAAAAACATAGCATATCAATGATCGCTGATATCGGTGTTTCATGAAATCACTAATGATAATTCTGAAACGTTGCCGACGACCCTGGAATCGATTGGGATGTTTTCGAAAATACACTAACACGAACGCCGTAGAGCGCTTTCCGCCATATTTGATTGTGTTTACAAAATCACGTTTCGCGAAGGCCGTTATTGAGACGCCAATTGCATGACTGAATTCCCCATACATTTAAGAATTAATTACAAATGGTCTTTGTCACCAATACTAACTGTCTAGATGAAATCAAACAAAACATAAAAGGGGGTGAAAAGGAACGCTGTGCTCGAAAGACTGCGCTTGTTTGAAATATAAACAAAGACAATTTCCGATTTTACACTGCCGTCTATCCATTGCTTGCAATGGCTCAATACCTTTAGAATATGTATGGAAAGAATATCGTAGCAAGAAATGGGAAATTACAAATAAAGTACAATGCAATGATTTGATAATTCATAAGAAATTGTCAAAGTTTCCGTGCAGCGTGACGCCATGACTCACGCAAAATCAGGCAGAACAACAACATAAACTGTAATTATCAACATTTCTGGTCGCTTCTCTTACTTACAATCAACACGATAAAAACATTTACCATTATTATTTTTCATTTACGTTCAATTAATGCCAAACAGGTTGCCGTGTTGCTCACAATAAGATACGCAGTCATACGGTCTAATTGTTGATATGTTCAAAACACTATTAAAATGATAAAATCGTTCATTTTGTGTTTTGTCTAAAGAGTGTTAAATTCTGACATATAAGCCGAGACCTTGTATACAATAAATGGACATTAGGTATATTCTAATCAGCATACAATGTCGTCTTTTTCCGACGTCGCAAAATGCATAAAACAAGCAATGACGTCAACAAAAACGTTGTATTATTTTCAGTAATTTCATTAGATTTGAAGATATGGCTAGTACTCTGTTAATAATGATGCCAAATTAGTCAAAATACATCTACACAAACGGGAGAATATGGGAATCTAAGAACTAACTTATATATCGGATAGGGCCATCCAAATCGCTATATTACATGCTTTCTCATGCAGTACATTGTAATCTTTTCTCATAAATTGTGAAACTACCAAAACGTTTTCTCTCACATTGGGGAACATAATGTACGCAAAATCATTATGACAGTGAGATGACGCTGACAGGTGCCATCAGTTCAACATGTTTGGTGAATGTCGTTTGTGTATACTGTGAAATAAACAAGAAAATGGGTGAGTTACAGCTACAAATTCTGAGCAGGGATTTTGGCTCGGAATCGAGAAATCACGAGTTTTCGATCTTCCGAAGACCCAAGCTCCCAAAGTACTGCTTCGATTTTTGTGCTGTATGTCTCATTTTGTAGGTAAATCTATTGGCTAAAACCTGTGCATACTTTAAATGGGATAAATACAGTGAACATTGTTGAATTCGCCCTGAAACGAACTTGGTGTATTGACCTCGTTACATCCCTTTCCTTTTATATAGTACTGAGACCCCGTCAGTGACAGTATTTACCTTGATGGCAGTTTTTAGCGTCACAAGCCCAAGTGCGTCATAGAAGAAAATCCATTTTCGACATTTATTGCGAGTCATTTTTAACGTTGAGCGTATAACGTTATGCATAAGCACACAAACCCACTTCATATCCATTTATGTCTTTCAGATATCAGGCTGTAGTTTCTTCGCTCATACTTTCCGTAAAGATGCCGATTTAAAAACAATTGTAGCACAGAGCTTTTATCGGTGCACGATAAAAAGCGGAGAAATTAAATGTTTTTTAACGCATAACAAAATGTTGGACAACATTTAACAGTGTCTATTACTCAATAGTTGTAGTTAGTTGTACTTATATTTATACCAACGGATAGGAAGTGTAATTTTCTACATTTCTGTGTAAGTTTATAGCCGTACGCAGATCCAGGACCACGCGAGCGCAATTCTTGCACAACGCTCACCTTTCAAACCTTATGAAAATATGCACCTGAAAAAAACCTCGGCATCCAGGGTTTAAGTTTTTGGAAAAATGCGGCCTCGGGGGTATTTCAGTACTTAGGTTAACGTTTTGCATGACAAACTCATTCCTTGATCAGACTTTTGATGCCATTTTGTTTTCAAAAGTTCGGAAACCGCTAATCCTTGAACATTGAGTGAGTGGATGAGTTTAGTTTTAAGACGTTTTTATCAATATTCAAGCAATATCACTGTGGTGAACACCAGAAATGGACATGTTACCCATGTCGGGAATCGAATCCGGGTCTTCGGCGTGATTTAACCACTAGGATACCCTACCGCCCCCTTGAACACAGAACAATGAACAGCGGATGACTGTTGTTCTATACAGGTGATACAGTAACCCTGTCATCAAGCCAGCAGTGTGCGGGAGTGTAACACTTGGCACAGAAAACAGCTGGTCACGACCACAACACCGTGACGTCATCAACAATGTGACGTCACTGTACATTTGGCGCGACGCCAGCTGGCGAACCTCTGCTGAGTCTGAGGTCACAGAGTGCAGCGAGATGTAAACAGACAGTTTGTTGTTGTCTGTTTCATGATTAATGATAAAATTATGACACATAATTAAAACAGAACTACATTACGAGATGCGGCGTTCATGTACCGACGACATATCATCAATATTTACAGTCAACAATATCCTTACCTGATTCTGTAAAGTTCCATAAACAACAAAATGTCTGAAAATGTTCTCAACAAGTTTTATTTCTCCTCAAACACAACAAATATTCTCACCTTCATACTGAATTATAAACAACGCGACGACGTGAACGGCATGCACAACGTCAGTGTCAGTAACGACATTTTCTCCATCACTGTCTACATCAACACTACATTCACTTCACTGTGTACCACGTGACACCAGGAGATCCGACAGTTGATGATGTTGCCTGTCTCTCGCCACGTCGGCCGCTGTCTTCCCGTCGTTGTTCCTGGCGTTGATGTCCACCCAGTCCAGAGACAGCACAAACTCCACTGTCTTCCTGTCTCCTCCCCCACAGGCGTAGTGAAGGGTGTTGTCACCGTCATCGTCCACCAGTGACACATCAGCACCTCGACTCACAAGGAGCTCCACCACATCCCCGTGTCGCCCCACTGCTGCCTCCATCACCGGTGTCCAGCTCCTCTCTCCTCTACTGTTGATGTCCACCCCGTCCAGAGACAGGACAAACTCCACTGTCTTCCTGTCTCCTCCATAACAGGCGTAGTGAAGGATGTTGTTACCGCCATCGTCCACCAGTGACACATCAGCACGTCGACTCACAAGGAGCTCCACCACATCCCTGTGTCTCCACTGTGCTGCCGCCATCACCAGTGTCCTCCCGTCCACACCTCTACAGTTGACGTCAGCCCGACCTGTGTCCAGGATCCGCTTCACCTCCCCCAGCTTCCCCTCCCTGCAGGCGGCACGGAGGTCGTTGTCTGCCCGGGTGTCTCTCCGTACGGGTGTCAGTGTCGCTGTAACACAAAGTAAACTCTGTACACAGGTGGGACATCTTCATGTTGACAGCAACATGGCGGGTGTACAGGGAATGACAGGAACTGACAGCAACATGGCGGGTGTACAGGAATCACAAGAACTGACAGCAACATGGCGGGTGTACAGGGGATCACAAGAACTGACAGCAACATGGCGGGTGTACAGGGAATCACAAGAACTGACAGCAACATGGCGGGTGTACAGGGAATCACAAGAACTGAGAGCAACATGGCGGGTGTACAGGGAATCACAAGAACTGTCAGCAACATGGCGGGTGTACAGGGAATCACTAGAACTAGTTAATGTTTTTACACGTTGGTTATTTACATGAATAGAATGTCATCTAACAGTTCTAACACAGTTTTGTGTGTGTGTGGAGAGTGGTCTGCCCACTACAACACACGTGACATTGTCTCCACCCACCTCGTGTGTCAGGTCTGGAGGGGGTCCATACTTCCGTGTGTCCCCCTCTCTGGTCGTGGCTGTGGAGGGTTAGAATAAACACTAGATTCATATTATATAATATTATATTATATTATATTATATTATATTATATTATATTATATTATATTATATTATATTATATTATATTATATTATATTATATTATATTATATTATATTATATTATATTATATTATCAGTGTTGTTATCTTACATTTATCATCGAGTATGTCACATTATAAATAAATAAAATATATATCAACAACCTCATTGTATAGAATATATTTTCTATAAAGGGATAGTTTTTAAAAGCCATACAGTTCTCCGGTAGATGACACGGGGGTTGTTTTTAGAAAGGACAAAGCTTTCTGACAGATCTGATAGCCTGATACCATGTATACATGTTACAGTCAATGTCTACAATCAGGCAATGTGTACATTGCTAACATACACAGTGCGACGTGCGACTTTCACATCTGGTACACAATATCCTCCCACCTACCGGGTACATCAGACTTCTGTGTAGGTCCAGGTCTCCGTGCTTCCACCTGGATCCAGGCTGCAACACAGAATATGTCATGTAGAACACTTCAACACAGAATATGTCATGTAGAACACTTCAACACAGAATATGTCATGTAGAACACTTCAACACAGAATATGTCATGTAGAAGACTTCAACACAGAATATGTGTCATGTAGAACACTTCAACACAGAATATGTCATGTAGAACACTTCAACACAGAATATGTCATGTAGAACACTTCAACATAGAATATATGTCATGTAGAACACTTCAACACAGGGAATACGTCATGTAGAACACTTCAACACAGAATATGTCTTGTAGAACACTTCAACACAGAATTTGTCATATAGAACACTTCAACACAGAATATATATCATGTAGAACACTTCAACACAGAATGTGTCATGTAGAACACTTCAACACAGAATATGTCATGTAGAGACTTCAACACAGAATATGTCATATAGAGCACTTCAACACAGAATATGTCATGTAGAAGACTTCAACACAGAATATGTCATGTAGAACACTTCAACATAGAATATATGTCATGTAGAACACTTCAACACAGAATATGTCATGTAGAACACCTCAACACAGAATATGTCATGTAGAACACTTCAACACAGAATTTGTCATATAGAACACTTCAACACAGAATATATGTCATGTAGAACACTTCAACACAGAATATATGTCATGTAGAACACTTCAACACAGAATGTGTCATGTAGAACACTTCAACACAGAATATGTCATGTAGAGATTTCAACACAGAATATGTCATATAGAACACTTCAACACAGAATATATCATGTAGAAGACTTCAACACAGAATATGTCATGTAGAACACTTCAACACAGAATATATGTCACGTAGAAGACTTCAACACACAATATATGTCATGTAGAACACTTCAACATAGAATATGTCACGTAGAAGACTTCAACACACAATATATGTCATGTAGAACACTTCAACACAGAATATGTCATGTAGAAGACTTCAACATAGAATATGTCATGAAGAAGACTTCAACACAGAATATATGTATTGTAGGAGACTTCAACACAGAATATATGTCATGTAGAAGACTTCAACACAGAATATGTCATGTAGAAGACTTCAACAGAGGTTCGGGGTCTGACATGGAAACATCTACAACAATGAATGATATTATTGTGCATGGTGGTATTGTTGTGTATGGTGGTATTATTGTGTATGGTGGTATTATTGTGTATGGTGGTATTGTTGTGTATGGTGGTATTGTTGTGTATGGTGGTATTATTGTGTATGGTGGTATTATTGTATATGGTGGTATTATTGTGTATGGTGGTATTATTGTGTATGGTGGTATTATTGTGTATGGTGGTATTATTGTGTATGGTGGTATTAGATGGTCATGAGGGATGGTTCTTAATTCTTTGTGCCTCAAGAATGCTACATTTCTGTTGTGGCAGAACCTGTGCTTCTCATAGATTCAGATTGTTAAGTTACAAACATTAAAACAAACTTGAAATGGGTTTTGTTATGAAAGACCTATGAAAAGAATATATATAGAGAGATAAATAGAAGAAATATAGAAAAATAAAAACAGAATGCCTTTTTCTCCAACATGTTTCGTTCTTTACTCTTCATATATACATGTATATACATGTCCCAGTGTCACTTTTGTCTAACAAATTCACCTGAGATTACATCAAACATCAACTTATATATGATGTTGTACGCTACCTTGGCTATCTGCCTTCTTCCCTGTGACTGGACCCGAAAGTATCAAAACAAACATTTAATCAACTGTCATATGTGTATGGCATATGTTCCAATCTCCCTTCACGACAATCTCCCCTGACAAAGACTCTTACATCTGGCAGTTAGTGGTTTCGATTCTGGTAGAATGGTGTTCGTGAACTCGAGGGTTTAGTACTTATGTACTTGTCAGAATATTGTCGTATTGTTTTACATACAGCGGGTAAATGACCATGGTTCACGTGCATTTTCCAGGACGTTCAGTTACTGATTGTTAGTGAACAGTGTTGTTATTTACAAATAGAGCGACGGAGATCCAGCTGACTCTACTATGGTTTAATGTGACTAAACCTAGAACCTGAATATCAAAACAATTCATACACACAAAAACGGGACAGTCATGTCGGCAAATTGGATTTCTGAAGTATTTGTGACACCCCACGAGACCACATTACAAGCACGTGGTAGTTGAAAACATTCAGAAAAACTACTTTACACATAAATATTATAGATTTTCATAAGCACAAAATCCTGGACTTCAGTATTGAGTAGTAAACTCACCTGTGACATCCCTCGAGACCACATTACAAACACGTTGTTGCTTTCGTTGCCGTAATTTATGGCCTTTTGAATTAATTGATAATATATCTGGCAGATAAACAACACGAAGTTGAAATTTGTTTTTATCGTAAATATGAACAAGGTTCAGTGTTTTGAACTGTTTTCTACATTGAGATGTGATTGTGTGAAGTTGGACATCCCCACATTGAAGGTGTTAAGACTGTAAACATCACTGGCTTGACAACCAGACCAGCTACGACTGAGTACAATCATGTACAAGCTGCATGCCATGTGTTTGTCAATCAGATATTGCTACGTTTAACAAAGTTACGACATCCCACGGCTGCTACAATCGCCTCGAACTTATCTCTTTGAGACAAACGTCTTACAGTATTTTCTACACATGAACCTACCATGCACAAAGACTGAAAGAGCTTTGTATCTGTTCACATTTTAACAAAGCAAGTACCTGCTGCCTAATCCCTACAGTAGTCGTTGTCCATCCTGCTCTGTTCACAACCTTATCTACTGGTTCTAAAAGTACAAAATATAGAGATAAACAAACTTACCCCGCAACCGTCCTCACACAACACACACATCTCACTGACAGCCTGGAAATGCCCTGACTAGCGACACTGGTCGAGCTAAGCTGCGAGTTATGACGTCATTGTGACGTGTCATGTGAGGAGCAACACCGAGTTTGGCGCTGGATTGCTTGTGGTATGTTCAACCGGGCAACCCGCCACACTAATAAAGAGACACCCCCACCCCTCGCCCATCCAGCCACGCCTCCCTATTTCATACACGGTAGGGTGAAACCTACCCGACTTACAACAATAGTCAACATTAACTAAACTCCTTCATCATGTACTACACGGTGCTGGAGATATAAATAAGTAACGAGATCAAAGGCACCGCTGGCCTCTATGTTCCACATTCACAAGACAACAGATGCACTGTAAGTATATGTACTGAATACCAGTGATATGGCATCACGTGATGTGTATTTGTCTACTGAGGTCTAAGTGTTACTCGAGATATATGCTTAGACATATCTCTATAACAATTATCACCAAGAGCCACACTGATTAAGTATTGTACTTTTAACACAGAATCATATAACTTTGACGTCAGAACATTTCATCCCTGTACAATACGAATTCTTTTGTGCAATCGACTCAGCGAAGAATATTTTAGCTGTGCCTTCAATATACTGTCGACATTTTAACCCCAATAACATGGAGCAAACGAAGGTTATGTTGCGTTCTATTTGATGCTCGCGATAATGCTCCTGATATCAATCATAGGATTGTCTGTTGAAGACTCCAATATTTACAGATATAGACATTCCAAAATATTACCAGCTAAGATCCTGTTCAGAACTGGTCTTCAGTGACCAATGCTTGTGGTAAGAGGCGACTAACGGGATCGGGTGGTCAGGCTCGCTGGCTTGGTTGACACGTGTCATTATTATCCCAATTGCATAGATCGATTCTCATGCTGTTGATCACTGAATTGTCTTGTCCAGACTCCATCATTTACAGACCGCCACCACAAAGCTGGAATAGTGCGGCGTTAAACAACAACCAAACCAAACTATTGATGTATTATTGATTCTATACCCAACTGAACACATGAGAATCATCTATTAGCAATTTTCTTTCGAGTATTTAGTTGACAGATAACATTCTGAAATTTTAATAACTGGAATCAAAACTCAAATGTGCATTGAAAAACAAGCTTCTTTTACATTGTTTCCTTGTATACGTATGTAAACTGAAGGATAAAAACGGTTTCTGGGCGTTAACAGTGAGAGGGATATTAAACCTTCCTTACTCACCTACTTAGACGTTTTCTTTAAAACCAAACCAGACCAGGGTGCCGTTCCACTAACCAATCTTACCCAAGTCAATCGTAAAGTTAAGATCCAAAGTCTAAGTTGCTCATGACCAACTTGGGATCGCTAAAATCAATCGTAGAGAAACCAAAATGGTGGCTTTCATATTCTATGTGAAGAAGTTGAGTAAGCATTTCATCGCGAGCGTCCCCTAAAACCCACAAAGAAATGAATTTGTTTATTTCTGTGATGTAAACAATAACTGCACTGAAGCCTTACAAATGTCAGGCCAGTCTGACCACTGTCGTCATGGGAACACAGCCGAGGGAGTCGGTGTAATACATTTGTACAACAATATTGCAACGTCAATAGTTAATAATTTCGTGCTTTCAAGTTTACACAGATTCCCGAACGTTGGTTGGTTGAGAGAGCGGTCATGTGATCTAAATTTCAAGGTTCATTACTCTTGAACCCCTCTAATCGTTCATACTTGTGTAAACATCGTTCATACGTGTGTGAACGTTTTTCGCCTCGGTTTTAAGGACCCCCAATAATTGGTGATACGCGAACGAACCTGTTTCAAGTCCACACTGTGATTGGGAAGTGTATTTTTGGGATTCTTTTGGCAGTGATCATTATCCTGTGTTTACCAGCTTTCAACTTGACCCGATAATGGAATTAAGAGTAACAGCTCAGCTATGGACTTTCTCTAAAGCTGACTGGTCTGCATTTACTGCTTTGTGCTCTGACACTGTCACGCCAGCTATAAATTCGCTTGACCTTGAACAGTTTCATACCTGCTTTGTTTCTAACATTATTAATGCTGCTACTAGAACCATAGGCAGAAGTTCAGGTAAACGTCCTCTTAAACCGCCAGTATGTTGGTGGACGGATGCGTGTCAATCAGCACGTGATGCTAGGAAGAGGGCAACAAAACTGGTTGAAAAATCAGCTTTACCATCTGATTTGATAGAGTTTCGGCGTGCTTCCGCTTTCCTCAAACGAACTGTTACTGAAGCTAAACGTTGGTCTTGGTCTAAGTACCCAAGTTCCATAAACAAAAATACATCTCTTTCTCAGGTATGGAGAAAAGTGAAAATTCTTTCTGGTAGTTCCTGTTCTAAACGTGCTATTCCATCTATTGGTAAAGACACACCAGCAACAACAAATATTGACAAGAGTAATGCACTGGCAAAGTCCTTTCAAAAAGTATCTAGTACAGATAACTTTAATTCAGACTTCCGGCTCATTAAAAAGTCACTTGAATCAGAGTATTCAGATATCCTACATTGTCCCACACATCATATCGCAGACTACAACTCTTTATTTAGTTTGCAGGAATTAAGGAATGCCATCTCTGGACGAAAAAATACCTCTCCAGGTGACGATTTATTGTGTTACGATATGTTCAAACATCTGCCAATTATCAGCCTTGACACTATGCTTTTACTTTTTAATCACATTTGGTTTGAAAGCAAACTTCCCATTTCTTGGAAAAAGGCAATTGTAGTTCCTATTCCAAAGCCTGGTAAAGATCCTACTCAAGCCACATCCTACAGGCCTATTGCTCTTACCTCCAACATGTGCAAAATAATGGAGAGAATGGTAAATAACCCTCTGGTTTACTTCATGGAGAAGAACAATCTCTTTTCAGGTGTCCAGTCAGGCTTTCGAAAAAACAGATCTTGTGCTGATCATTTAGTGCGACTTGAAACCGAAATTAAAAAGGCACAAGGAAGCACTGAATATCTACTGGCTGTTTTCATGGACATTGAGAAAGCCTATGACATGTTATGGACGGACGGTTTAGTAATAAAACTGTATAAGCTTGGAGTTAGTGGCCGCATGCTTGACTGGATAAAAGATTTCTTGAGGGATAGAACTATACAAGTTCGCATTGGAACTTCTCTGTTGGATGTATACATGTTAGAGAATGGAACACCTCAAGGTAGTGTTATCAGCCCAACCTTATTTAATGTTATGATTAATGACCTGTTTGAGAATATCAGAGAAATGGTCGAAACATCACAGTTTGCAGATGATGGAGCGTTGTGGAAACGGTCCAGTAATTTTGACACTGTCTTTAACGGCATTCAACAATCTCTTCATCTTGTACAGACTTGGTGTGTCCATTGTGGTTTTAAGATTTCAGCTTCTAAATCGTCTGCAATCATTTTTACTCGGAAGAAGATTCCACATAATTCAAAATTGGTTTTGTGCGGTTCTCCTTTGGAGTTTGTGGATTAAGTCAAGTTTTGGGGACTCTTGATAACAGGCTTACTTGGAAACCTCATATAGACTATTTGATTCAGAAATGCACTAAAGTCCTGAACCTTCTGAGAAGTATTTCCAGTACCAAATGGGGTGCAGACAGGAAGTGTTTGTTACTGTTGTATCGTGCCCTCATTCGATCACGACTTGATTTCGGCTGTCAAGCCTATGGATCTGCATGTGCTACACAAAAGGCAAGACTAGCTGTTGTTCAGTCAAAAGCCCTACGAATATGCCTTGGAGCATTTCGAACTACCCCTGTTGAGGCTCTCCATGTTGAATCTGGTGAACTGCCTTTAGATCTCAGACGTGAACTGTTAGAAGTTCGGTACATGCTTAAATTGAAATC